GTCCATTTCACATTTATTCATTTGAATCTTAAACCTAATTAGCTTTGGGCACAAATGAACTTAAGGTTTGAGGTTCAAATTTTAAATAATTTTCAACATTTTCTAGCTCTCTTTAACTTTCCACTCGTTTAAGGTAAATGAGTTTAAATTGTAAGTTTTCCTTATTTTACAGAACTGTCTGCAGTATCAATAAAAACTGTATTTTAGGACAAACTAATAATTTACATAGATTCAAAAATAAACTCTTCTCTGCAAACATTTATTATGGTTAAAATCCTTTTACGTAACTCTTTTTAAATTGAATTTTCCCTCCAATGAACACTTTGGGTCGAATTTGTGTCACCGCATGTAACAGCTTTTACTTCACAGGAACAGTGACGAAAGATGTTTATGACGTTTTTCTACAAGTTTAGAAAAAATTGTATTGTTCATATATTTATAGACTAGGCGATTGACAATTACGACTCTACAATGCAGCCTCATTGAGATGTTTCTGGAATAAAAAGCAAAACATTTATTAATTGCCAAAACTTGAAATCAAAACCTTTACTGGTAAAAACCCAGTTTTAACAGAGAAAAAACTAATTCTTCATTCCTTTAACAATATAAACTTATTGTTGTCTACTACGTCTAATTTAAGTAACAAGGGCACAATTATTCGTTTCGTCAAAAGGCACATATATAAAATCGGCACAAAAATAGTCTAATTTGTCTACAATAAAGTCATCTTAACTGGACAACGAAAATTCACATTTCATACATCCATCTATATTATAAAAAGGAGTTTTACATGCAAGGAATACAATATATTTGGTAATTTTTTTCCTGAATATTACAGCCAGGACTTTGGTAACATATCAAATAACCTAAGACCTAAATAGCTTAGCCATTTTTTTTCGTTTTGGTTAATCTTCATTTTGTTAACTGAAGTTAACGTCTATAATTGTACCATTTGTTTAAATAGGACGGACAATAAATGGCCGTTACAGAGAAACTCCTTATTGTATTAAGTATATAGACAAATGGATTATTCTTAATATCTAAAATTTTATATTTTCTATCTATATTCATCCAAAACTTACCCGTAAGCAGACCAAATTTCTAGTAATCCCTGGAATAGTAAATTAATCCAGTTTTTAAAGGAGTTGTTTATTTTCAACCAAAAACTGCTTTTCTTGCTTTACCACTTATATATATTATGTTCGGTTGTATTTAATTAACATCCTTCCCATTAAGCATCTAAAACTCACTGAGAGACCCACTTTTTACACACGTAACATAGACAGCATAAGCAGAAGTTCACCTTATAATCCTGTTTGAAAAAAGAAAAACTCCTCTTGTTACTAATTAGTATGTTTGAGCAAAGAAATCGATAATTAACAAGACGTTTACTCACCTTATCACGAAATATGTAAATTTCCTGTGCTGCTAAATTCGCGGAAAGACCTCTTTGATCGGCTTCTAACCTGAACGCAGATGCTAAGTTTTAACAAAGTTTACCTTCTGCAGAATTTGTCGTTCGAGTGCACCACTATTGATTCCCAGAAATTATGTAGACCGCAAAAACGCCTGTCGGAAATTGTAAATTATAATTTTAGTTCTATTTACTCACTCACTTAGCTCCATGTTGACCTACACCATCGCTCACTTGCGGAGGCGATATACAAAATATCGCCCCCACCAAATATACAAAATCGTTAAGTTACCTTCATGTTTACTTACATCATCGTTTACTTACCGTCATGTTTATCTATATCATCGTTTACATGCCTTCATGTTTACCTATATCATCGTTTATTTGCCTTCATGTTTGCCTACAAAATCGTTTATTTACCTTCATGTTTGCCTACAAAATCGTTTACTTGCCTTCATGTTTACCTACAACATCATTAACTTACCTTCATGTTTAACCACAACATAGTTTACTAAATTTCTATTTACCTACAACATTGTTATTTTACCTTAATGTTTACTTTCATCAGAAATCAGAACATCTTCGTTAACTTACTTTCCTGCTTACTTACATCATAGTTGTTAACCTATCGCTGTATTTACCAACAACATAGTTTACTTACCTTCATTATTACTACAAAATCATTATTTACTTTCATATTTAACTTCAACATAGTTTACTGATTTCCTGTTTCCCTAAAACATAGTTTACATACCTTCATGTTTACTTACATCATATTTGTTAAATCTACTGCCGCGCTGTATTACCTGCAAGATAGTTTACTTAACTTCATTATTACTACAACATCGTTAACTTACCTTCATGTTTAACTACAACATAGTTTATTAAATTTCTGCTTACCTACAACATAGTTTACTTACTATCATTATTACAACTACATCGCTATTTACCTTCATGTTTACCTACAACAAAGTTTACTTACTCCATTCCGGTATGTTTTTTTTTTGTGATGGCATTATTAATCACCGACAACCTAAGAATAATATAGTTTACTTACCTTCATGTTAACCTTCATCATACTTTACATAACTTTTTATTTATCTACGACATCGTTTACTTACCTTCATCATTTATTGCTTACCTTCATGTTTGCCTACATTAATGATTACTTACCTTTATGTTTGCCTACATCAATGATTACTTACCATCATTTTTGCCTACATCAACGATTACGTACCTTTATGTTTACCCCCAACATAGTTTACTTACATTCACGCTTATCTACATCATCTTTTACTTACTTTACGTTTTCTTTCATCATAGTTGTTAACCTACCTTCATTATTACCTAGATAATCGTTTACTTACCTTCCTGTTTTCCTACAACATAGTTTACTTAACTTCATGATTAACTTTTTCATAGTTTCCTTACCTTCATGTTTACCCCAGCATAGTTTACTTACCTTTATAGTTACTTTCATGATAGTTTAGTAACCTTTCTGTTTACCTACATAATAGTTTAGTTACCTTCATGTTTACCTATTTCATCGTTTACTTGCCTTCATGTTTACCTATATCATCGTTACCTTGCCTTCATGTTTACCTCCAAAATCGTTTACTTACCTTCATGTTTAATAACATCATAGTTTACTTACCTTCATTTTTACCTATATCATAGTTTACTTACCTTCATTATTACTACAACATCGTTAACTTACTTTAATGTTTACTTACATCTTCGATAACTTACTTTCCTGCTTACTTACATCATAGTTGTTTACCTAACGCTGTGTTTTTACTTACCTTCATTATTTCTCACAAAATCGTTTACTTACCCTTCCTGTTTTCCTATAACATAGTTTACTTATCTTCTTGTTATCCATCCACAATATAGTTTACTTAACTTTATATTTACCTGCATCATCGTTTACTTACCTTCATATTTACCTATAACATCGTTTACTTACCTTCATGTTGACATATATAATAGTTTAATTGCCTTCATATACTTACAACATGGTATACTTACCTTCATGTTTACCTACAAAATCGTTTACTTACATTAATGTTTACAACATCGTTTACTTAACATCATGTTTACCAATAACATCGCTCACTTACCTTCATGTTTACCTACAACATCGCTCACTTACCTTCAAGTTGACCTATATAATAGTTTACTTGCCTCCATATTTACCTTCAGCAGGGTTTTCTTACCTTAATGTTTACTTACAACATCGTTTACTTACCCTCATGTTTACCTACAACAGGGTTTTCTAACCTTCATGTTAACCTAAAGCATCGTTTACTTACCTTCATGTTTACCTACAACATCGCTCACTTACCTTCATGTTGACGTATATAATAGTTTACTTGCCTTCATATACTTACAACATCGTTTTCTTACCTTCATGTTTACCTGCAACATCGCTCACTTACCTTCATGTTGACGTATATAATAGTTTACTTGCCTTCATATACTTACAACATCGTTTTCTTACCTTCATGTTTACCTGCAACATCGCTCACTTACCTTCATGTTGACCTATATAATAGTTTACTTACCTTCATGATTAACTTCGTTATAGTTTCCATACCTTTGTGTTTACCTACAGCAGGGGTTTCTTATCTTTATGTTTACCTACAACATCGTTTACTTACATTAATGTTTACCTGCAACATCGCTCACTTACCTTCATGTTTACCTACAATATCGCTCACTTACCTTCATGTTGACCTATATATTAGTTTACTTACCTTCATGTTTACCTAAAACATCGTTTTCTTACCTTCATGTTTACCTACAATATCGCTCACTTACCTTCATGTTTACCAATAACATCGTTTACTTACCTTCATGTTTACCTACAATATCGCTCACTTACCTTCATGTTGACCTATATATTAGTTTACTTACCTTCATGTTTACCAATAACATCGTTTACTTACCTTCACGATTAACTTCGTTATAGTTTCCTTACCTTCGTGTTTACCCCAGCATAGTTTACATACCTTCATGTTTACCTACAGCAGGGTTTTCTTACCTTCATGTTTACCTAAAACATCGTTTACTTACCTTCATATTAACCTATAACATCGTTTACTTACCTTCATGTTTACCTACAATATCGCTCACTTGCCTTCATGTTGACCTATATAATAGTTTACTTGCCTTCATGTTTACCAACAACATCGTTTACTTAACTTCATGATTAACTTCGTTATAGTTTCCTTACCTTCGTGTTTACCCCAGCATACATACCTTCATGTTTACCTACAGCAGGGTTTACTTACCTTCAGCAGGGTTTACTTACCTTCATGTTTACCTACAACATAGCTCACTTACCTTTATGTTGACCTATATAATAGTTTACTTGCCTTCATGTTTACCTACAACATAGCTCACTTACCTTTATGTTGACCTATATAATAGTTTACTTGCCTTCATGTTTACCTACAACAACGCTCACTTACCTTCATGTTTACCAAACTAACCGCTTAATTAGTTAAATGCTTACTACATTATTTAAGACATTACCACCACTCATAAAAAATACTTATTCTAAATCATATTCTCTTCTTCACAGAACTATGACTACTCTACATAAAATCTGCACAACGGCCTAAGATGGCGGAGGAGGTGGAACTATTGAGTGTGGACAATGTAACCTTCAACATGACCTTGGAAGACTACCTTCTGATGGCCAGAGGTCCCAAGCACCTCGCGCTGGAGGTCGTGGTCCCCATCACCATCATCTACTGTGTCATCTTCCTCACTGGAGTCCTGGGCAACCTGGCCATCTGTCTGGTCATCGCCAACAACAAGAACATGCACACGGCCACCAACTACTATCTGTTCAGTCTGGCGGTCTCTGATGTCACCTTGTTGTTGCTTGGTTAGTAGATTGGTTTTATGTGTTACTTCTGTGTTTTAATTTAAGTTTTGCATGCTCTCGGACCTATTGGTAAATTCGGCCCAGAAAAAAATTTAATTTGACTAAATCATGCATTAGTATTAACTTTTCTGCGATTTACTTACTTTTTCCCACATCAAAATTCATTGTGTAGCCTCTGAACTGTTGATTAGACTAAAATTTAAGGTACATACCTTCACGTCAACAGTTAATAAATGTATGGTCAAACCCACTACATGTTTCGCCTATACATAGGCATTGTCAAGTGATTCTTCAAGAACGTTTCGTCCATTGTAGACTCGTCAAAAACCATTTAAATAAATACACATAAAACACTATACATTGTACGAAACATTTAACACTTAGTAGGTCTACTATTTACCGGTCGCAGTACGGAGGCAGACTGGCTGGAATTATGTAACACCGACCCCTTCTCCGTTATCAGTCGTACTGCAAAGGTCAAACTGTTCCTGTCTATTGTTGTGAGCTATTACGGCGTTAAAAATTGAAGAAGAAATGATGATTATTATTATTAAAAGAATGGAGCGCATGGTCGATATCACCCCAGTTTTCAGGATTCTCAACGGAGAAAATGTTTGGGGATGTCTGAAATCAAAGAAATAATATAACCCAACTTAAATTACTTAACACAAATTATCAGAAAGGCAACAGGTTTCTTCAATTCTCAATGCTGGAAAAACTTTGTTGCAACATGTTAACTCGAATTGAAGTAGATCGTTTAGCACTCATTAAAAGTTATCAGTTAAAACTGAGTGCAGAAATAATGTGATGAAACCTTGACGACACAAATAGAGATATTTAAAATTAGTTTCTAACAAGTATTTAAACGACTCTAAGATGTAACTAGAATTACTCGAATTTAAGCATATGCGGCTCATTGAGCCGCACGGATTCTCTAGTAAAAGTATATTTTATGACAAGAACTGTGGTAACATTTATCAAACTACGCAAACACTATCTTAGTATCTTAAAACCCATGAAGGAATTCAAGGATAAAAAGTGCTTCTCTTAACTAGCAGATACTTTAAGTTGTAAAGGCTCCAATCGAATCTAAAAGAGCTCTTTACATTTCCTGCTCGGCCATATGGATTTGAAGTTGGAACTTCAAACACACACTATGCTTTCAAAGAAGTTTTTAAGAAGTCATTCTGCATAGAACTAGCACTAGTTTTAACTATTTACATGTCGTGTACAACCTTACTATATTACAGTTTTCCATTTACTTAAAAACTGATTTCATTCACTTGCAAAAGTTAAATTCACTAGACATTTTCATATTACAGTGTTTATTATTATTTATAACTTAATATATTAGTGAGTTTTTGGAATCGAGCTGGTCAACTGGTTGAGCGCGAGACTTCGCTACTCGAGCTTACTCGAGGTCCCGGGTTTAAGTCCCGTTAATCGCCAATGGATTTAATATAAGTAATAATACTGACCATCAAGACATAGCTGGTGTAATGTGAAACTGTTTCCGAGTTATAAATTAGTGTCCCAGGATGTGACGGCTTAACAAAAACATTGGGACTACTTAGCGGGACCACAGCCTGTTGAGATGCCCGGGACCCAGAAGACATGTAGTATTGTGAGCCCTGAATGGCGCTTTAAATAATAAACTAAATTCGTTCTGAATCAAATAGATAGAGGAAACCACGCAATTCAGTGGCAAAGTAAATAATAATACAATTCAGTCTCAAACATATGAAGAAATCATAGATATCCTTTGTGAGGTGAACTGCTCTCAAGTCCAAGAAAGAGAATTAACTAGCATAGATACAAATGATTTTGTTAAGCCGTCACATCCTGGGACACTAATTTATAACTCGGAAACAGTTTCATATTACACCAGCTATGTCTTGATGGTCGTATTATTATTACTTATATTAAATCCATTGTCAATTAATGGGACTTAAACCCGGGACCTCGAGTACCGAAGTCTCGCGCTCTACTATTATACCGGCTTGATCCCAAAAACTCACTTATATAGTAATTTCATTAATATGAAAATGTCTAGTGAAATTAACTTATGCAAGTGAATGAAATCAGTTATTAAGTAAATGGAAAACTGTAATATAGTAATGTTGTAAACTACATGTAAATAGTTAACACTAGTGCTAGTTCTGTGCATTAGAACTAAAAGTATCTGCTTGAATTCCTGCATGGGTTTACGATACAAAAAAGTGTTTCAATAGTTTGATAAATTTTACCACAGTTTTTCTCATAAAATATATTTAAATAGTCAATAGAATGTTTTGTTAAAAATAATAATTATATATGATTTCGCCCAGTAGAGAATTCTTGGAAAATTCTGAACAGTTTACTAACCTAATTTGTAGTTTTGGAATAAGGTTTTAGAATTTTATAATTTCTACTCTTAAGGGCGGGAGACCCTCTCAAAGATCGGGTTTTTCCCATAAGAAATACATAGAACAAATAACAAAAAATAAAAAATAAACAGCTGTATAGTATGAAAATGTCTAGTGAAATTAACTTTTGCAAGTGAATGACAACAGAGTAACATTACAGAGTGATTGTATAAGTAGTCTACTTTTAGTAGAATATTTTTTTCCAACTCATACTAAAATTTATTTTGAATTTATAAATAACATGTAAATAGTATACACTAGTGCTAGTTCTGTGCAGTGTGACTTTTCAAAAAGTCTCTCACAGCGTGAATAAAGCAGACATATTGTGTGGTTTCCTTGAAAGCACAGTGTGCGTTTGAAGTTCTACAACTCAAGATCGATATGGTTGAGCAGGAGATTGTAAAGAGAGCTCTTTTAGATAATTTTGGAGCCTTTTACAACTAAAAGTATCTTCTAGTTAGGAGAAGCTTTTTTCCTTGAATTACTTCATGGCTTTTACGATACTAGTTTGATAAATTTTACCACAGTTCTCATTCTAAAAGAAATACTTTATTTTCTTTTTCAAGAAATTCAAATGTCAAATGTAGAATATTGAGCTTCAATGCTCGTTTCCAATTTGAAGTTTAACGTAATTACGTCCGACCATACGGTCACAAGGAAGGCCTTGTAAAAATGATTCTTTTATATATATTTACCCTAGAGTATGCTAGGAAAATCCTGAACAGCGTATTACCAAGTTTCAGAAGTGAAAATTATAAAATAGCGATTGTTAAAAACATGATTTAGTTTCAGATTTTTGATTTTTTTTTTCTCAAATACATTAGTATGAACCCAGGTCAGGTGTCAATTAACAACAACGAAATATTTTTCTCGTTTTGTCAATCTCACCTATAACTGGCAAGACATGAGATATAGTGGTATAATTTACCTATATTTTCGTCGCAGTCAAATCAGCCTTTCTACTGAACCTTTTTTAGTTTTAGTAGTAAAAACAACTAGATTGGATTGGGGTGAAATAAAGGTAAACTAAACCACTTAAAAAAATTCTTACACAATTCTTCTATGAATATGTTATGCTTCTTTATAAGGTAGTGTACTTCATGACACACGTTTCGGAATATTTAAAACATAGTAGAACCCGCACGTAAACAGTCGTTTAGAACACGTACATGTATGGGTCGCTCAAGCCACAAACTTTGAGCATTTGGAACTGTTCTGCAAATCAATTACCGAATGATAAAACCATGTACAGTATTTTACATTGTTGTATCCAAACCAAAGGATTGTAAAATATTCAAACTTTGTAGGTTCTCGTAAATTGGTAAACACTCTCATGAATAACAACTAAACATAAACAGGCCACTTGTCTTTCTTTTCCTACGGGACATGAATATTTTCTTACGGGACATGAATATATTCCATTTATTACCGGCGTCTGCATCATAAACGTAAGTACATTTTCTTCGTGCTGGCTCTTGTAAGATACTTTTCATGTAAAATTACATTTTGATAGGGTGTTCACGTTGTTGGAACTGCTTGCTATTTCAGCAGCTACAAATTTTCTGTGTAGAATTATAGGTTGGATTTAGCATTAAAATACAAAAAGAGACTCATCAATAAATTAAAGATGTATGTAGTTAGAGTTCTGTTTCTGAAATTTCTTGTAATCATTTCTCTAACATTACAGAGTGATTGTATAAGTAGTCTACTTTTAGTAGAATATTTTTTTCCAACTCATACTAAAATTTATTTTGAATTTATAAATAAACTTAAAACATAGTATATTTTAGACTGATTTATTTCATCGGTTCCCAGAAATGATTAACATTTTTTTTGCAACCTAACATTTTGAAAACTTTCCTGTTTGTTTTACATAAAATATGATAAAAGGTTGATTTTCACAATAAGTATCTTTCAAAAAAATTATTTTTGAATGGTGTAGATTAAACCGCACTCTAAATAAAACGTTTTATTGAAGTCATCAGAAATACTCTTACCATTGAATTCAGTACATAATTATTATATTTCAAATGATTACTTAACCCACTTTTGGATTTAGTAGAGAAAAGTTATTAAACCTCACCTACAATTTACTTTCTTTACTTCAACTGCTTTACCATGCGCTGTTCTAAATAGGAAAATAATCATCTGTAAAAAGCAATTTGAAAACTGTACAATAGTATTATCAAGATCGAAAATTTAATTTGCACATCAAACTCTATGTTTTTACTCTCCAACTACAACATTATAAGGGAGCGAGATGCTCTAATAGGTGAGCGTGGGCCTTTGGTCTCTGAGGTCCTGGGTTCAAATCAGCCCAATCACTAATGGACTTAATCTAAGTGTTAATTCCATAGTTCCCTGTACACCTGTACTGAAGTAATGTGAAAAACAATTCTCGGCTAGAACCTAGAGAAATAAAAAAACAACTGCAGCATAACAACCTCTTCCTATAAATATTGTTGTTGGATGCTTACGTTTTGTGTAACTGTAATGTTTTTATTGTACCTTAAGTAATTGTGATGTGTTAGTAATACATTTAGCCTACTTTTATATATTTCAGGACTGCCCAACGACCTGAGCGTGTTCTGGCAGCAGTATCCGTGGATATTCGGAGAAGCTTTGTGCAAAGTTAGAGCTCTTGTCTCGGAGATGTAAGTTACACCTTAACTTTCGGATACTTACCGTCTCTCACAAGACTTATCGCGGCAAGATCTCAGACTTTCGCAACTTTAGTTTAGACTTATGTATTCTTGCTTCACTGGAACAAAGGAGTATACTGAATAGATTTTGTGTTCTTTTAAGTACATTGCTGTTTAATGTATTATAGCATGTTTTCTTTAAGTCAGTAGTAATATTATTGTAGAAAATACCCACCACTTATTAGCAAGATAATTGCAGAATTAATTGTAGTCGTTAATAGAAGTGGAAAAGAACATTTGCAGAAAAGGTGGTTAAATTAATTTACTTCCTTTTGTAAATTCAATTTTGGTCACCTATTGAGAGTAATTGAACATCATATTTTATAGTCTGTAATGTCGCCATCTGTAGACATTATTCTTTTATCTTTTACAATATTGTATTGTTACTCAAAAAAGTGGTTCACGTTTCCAAATTTACGCGCAAAGCCATATTTTTCTAAAGAAATCAATCAACGAATTCCATACGATCTTTTAAAGAAAGTGGTCTCTATTTTTTATAGTGCGCTGTGGTGGTTAGGTGGGGTTAGTTATGTTAAATGACACATAAGGTTTATTGGTAAATTAAATCTAGTTTACTTACTTAATTATATGGACGTTTTTAAAAGAGCAGTTGGTACTTTTTGTGTATTCAATTTATATCACGTATTGAGATTAATAGTACGTCCCCCCTTGTCGTTTGTAAGGCCTGTCTTAAATCAATCAGTATGTATTGTTTTATTTTAGACATTATTGTATCTTTATTTTAAAAGATTGTACACAAATTTAATTGTAAGCACCGACTTTTTTCCAAAGGAAGCAATAATTTCCTTAGGATATTTTAAAGAGTATGGTCACGACTTTAATAGCGCACTACTGTGATTAGGTTAGTTTAGTTTATGGTAATGACAAACAAGGTAACATAAACTAAAAAGTGATTTGTTAAAGACACAAATTTACAAAAATCTATTCGTACCAATATTTTCCTGTTATATTACTGTTAATAAAAAGATAAATTATTAATGACTTTTTGGACACTACGGTAAACTTAACTAATCAATCTAACCTAACCTAATCCAACCGTTGGGAACTTTAAAGAGTGGTAGCCTATCTTGGAAACCCCTCTCTTTACCTTCCAATAGTATGGATTTTGTTCACGTGTTGTGTATTCCAGGACGTCGTACACCTCCGTGTTGACGATCGTCGCATTTTCCATGGAGAGATACCTCGCCATATGTCATCCCCTCCATTCATACGCCATGTCAGGGCTGAGAAGAGCTGTTAGAATCATCGCAGTCCTGTGGCTGGTGTCTTTCATCAGTGCGCTGCCTTTTGCTGCCTTCACTAAGGTCAGTTTGAACAATAAACGTACTTATAATCCTCTTAAGTTTATTTTTTGATACCCTTATGTTCCTTAAGTTTTATGACTTTGAAGATAGAAAGAGATTTTCCTATTTCGGCCCGAAATGTCAACGATCTCCCCTTTCAAAAGAATTTTGTTTCCCACCTTAAAAGGGAAATAAAAAACATACATTTATAAAAGATACATGTCAAGCTAACTTCATTATTTAATAGGGTTTTTTATTTTACTTAGTATCTACGTTTTTGTTGCTGATTATCAATAGTTTCAATGCATTTAGTTTATATTTGCATTCGTTCAGTTAAAGTAAATCGTACAGAATATGGACTTAAGTAATTTCCTTTTTTTAAGTTTTTACTGAAGAATTGAAATATTTTGTTATTATTGTGTGTCTTAGGCCTATATATGTCATTATATCTTAAACACAATTCAAAAAGAAATGTGTCCAACGAAGTTTTACCATCTAAAATCTTTTTTTCAACCCATTCATTTACTTCTAAGTTGTTATGAAGGTTTCTAAAATAAGATTTGTTATTATTATTTTATTCTGTTGTTACACTCGATTTCTAAAAAAATCTACTCAATAATAAGCAATTTTCATTTGGGAATTAAATTGTTTGTAAATATCGTAGTCGAGAGCATTAGTAGCAAGCTTAAACCCCAGAACATAAAGGAGAAAAATGAACCTCCCAAGCAGACAAATGTTCAAGGATAATTCTTTTGGATCTGATCCAAATTGTCGAGCTTATTGCAGACCCGGCTTCTCTATTCGAAGCTCTATGTAGTTTATATTGCTGTTAACAGTTTGTTTTGCGGTTTCAACATTCTATTGCGAAAAGAAAATCATTTAAAACTAATATTACCGTCTGTTGTGTAGCAAATTCATGAGAATTAATTAAGAACTGTGTGAGAGTTAATTGTATGATTTTTTTTTTTATAGAATTGCAATTATGCATGGAGTTCAATTGAATATAGGCGTAGGGAAACAAAAAACTAAATAGTTTATTCACTAATAGAATCTTACTAAAGTTGATCCCTTTTTACCTTTGTTGCTGTAATTGTCAATAAATATACCAATTATTTGCTTTTAAGTTTCCGAACTTAATATTATTTTAGTAGCCAACACTTAGATCACACTGCATGATAAAACCTTAGAAATATAAAGTCAAACGCAATATTTTTATCGCGTATGTCAATTCCACATAATTAAACTGATTTTACCAAAACTACTCAATCCAAATGAATTAAAACTATCTGTCCAGTTTTAATTGCACAAGCTTATGCTTAGGACGATCAAGAAAGAAATGGTGTCCTGCAAGGATTTTTAGATGAAACTGGAATTCCAATTTCCTAAATCTCAATACTATTGCCAAATACAAATTTTACCAGGTTTTTAGTCAAATAAAAAACACCAATCCAAGTGAAGTAAGTCTATATTAATCTGTCTCAATTGTATTTTAATTTAGTTTATTTACTTCTTTTGATCCCAGTTGCTCCGGTTTAAATTCAACTAATACCACAAAATAAATTTACTTTGATTTTTTTTAAATTTAGGATCTTGAACGTATATAAATAGTTAGGACTAGGTTTAAAAGTCAGGATCCAATTCTTTTCCATGATACCATTACTACTTAAATACACGTTTTACACACACATTGTCTTGGTTGTCAGGTCAACTACATAGATTACCCGCCAGGTTCACACATCTGGGTGGAAGAGTCAGCGTTCTGTGGGATGCTTGAGGAGAACGTGCCCAAGAATCTGCCCATTTACGAGCTCAGCTTCTTCGTCTTCTTCTTCGTCCCATTGTGCGTCATAATCGCGCTGTACGCCAAGATTGGGCTGCAGATCCGGACTAACTCTCTGGGCAAAAGTGTGGACGGGACTGTACACGGGGAGACCAAGAAGTCACAGTCGAGGAAGTCGATTATTAGAATGCTGAGTGAGTTTCATTAAAATTTATACCAATCTTATAACTAAGACCACTTACTACCACCACTTAAGACCACTTACATATACAGTTAAATTTCTTTGTCTTTAATTGTGTCATGCTTGTAGAATAAGTTGGTTAAAAAAGGACGAATTAAGAGGAACACATTAGTTCTGTAGTTTAAATACAGCTGTCTTGTGTGTCAACATATTAATTGAGACAATGTTTTCTCTGTAGCCTGAAACCAGAATATATTTTTAGTGTCAGTCATCATAAAATCGTTCGAGTCTAGTCAACATCAGGGTATTTTTCCAGCGTTGTCATACATCAGAATATTGTTTGAGTGTTGTCATACATCAGAATGTTGTTTGAGTGTTGTCATACATCAGAATATTGTTTGAGTGTTGTCATACATCAGAATATAGTTTGAATGTTGTCAGACATCAGAATATTTTGAGTTTTGCCAGACATCAAAATATTGTTTTGAGTTTTTCAACACATCAGAATATTGAGTTGAGTGTTGCCAGACATCAGAATATTGCTTGAGTGTTGCCAGAAATCAGAATATTGTTTGAGTGTTTCCAGATATCAGAATATTGTTTGATTGTTGTCAGACATCAGAAATTTGCTTGAGTGTTGTCACACATCAGAATATTGCTTCAATGTTGTCAGACATCATAATATTGTTTGAGTGTTGTCAGACATCAGAATATTGTTTTGAGTGTTGCCAGACATCAACTATTGTTGGAGTGTTGTTAGACATAAGATTATTGTTCCGATATAGTCTAAACACAGACTATTGTGAAAGTGTTGTGGGATATTCGAACATTTGGTTGAGTGAAGTAATAAAACACAATATGTCTGATGTTATGCCGTGAGGTATTAAAACATTCTCGACAGATACTCACACTCTAGTATATGTCCTAGCCAGACATCATAATACTTTTAGAAAGGTGTCATTGCAAAAAAATTTATTTTTGTTTGAAAAGTAAATTATTTTTTTCACATTCTGAAGCAAGATAATTATTATCTTTATAGCTCCAAGCATCGTTCAATCTCATAAACGAGTTAAAAGAGATATAATCATTTTACCCGAGAAATACGATTTTCATCAAATAACTTTTACACTTTTTGTAGCCTCAAGCGTTATTAATCTGCAATATTTTTATTATGTTATGCAACTACATTCGTGTTGCTAAATCTAAATATTATCTTATGCAATCTGTCAAACGTCTAGCATTACAAGCTTTAACACTTTTTTTAAGATAAAATCATTCTATTTTCTCATTTTACTGTAAGGAGTTTAAATAATCTTTCAATCCTACGCAAAACGTCTTTCAAAATGTTTGCTTCGTACAAATTGAAAATCTAGAGTACTTTAAATATAGCTTAGTTCAAAAGTACGCAGCGTCCTACATTAAAGTTGCCTTTTCATGCTACAAATCTCTTGCAAATAAATTTAAACCTCTCAAAGAACTCTTCAAGTAGACTTACCTTTTCTGCTCATCCACAAGATTCCAATATAGTCTCGTTTCTCAATATAACGGACTATTTTGTAGACAAGTAAATAAATTGTATACTCTACTTTGATGACTTATTATACTGGATTTTGCAGACACTCTAGATAATTTATGTAATAAAATACAGAAACATTAATTTTTATATTGTTAACTACTACATTTAAAGTAATTGATGAAGTTAACAGATTTTTAACTTACATCAATATGTAAATATAAAATATATTTTAATTGTAACCATCTAAAATTACAAGAAGAATTTAATTCCTGTCAAACATTAAACATGACTATTTTGTTAATAAATTTACATTTTGTTCTTGCTTGATTATTCAATTTGTGTTGCCTTCCGCATTATTTCACGAGATATTAGATCCAAGAATTATTAGAGGCTAAGTTACCTATTTCTGTCCAAGTTATCAGAAAAAGTTTTAACTCTTAGTAGATCGTCATGATTATAAAAAACAAATTATAGTCACACACGAACATAGACAAAACCAGTTAAAAAGCATTTCCATATATACTTACTAAATGGTGGTGGATACCGAGTGCAGGCAAAGTTTTTTTAGTGTGGCCTTGGTGCAGGTCAAGATTTTCTAAAATAAATATTGAACGTTGTTATGGTTAAACAAAAACACATCGCATAAGTGTACACAATTAGCTTTTAAATCAATCATATGTATTTTTACTGATGTATATAAAACATCCAAGAGCATAAGAATCCTCAACATTAATTAAATACTGCAAATTAATTAAACTCATTACAGGGTGAATACGCAGATAAATAGATTGGACTCTCGACTCTGACAGCTTATCTATTAGATACTTAATTACTCTGGATAAAATTTGTAATATATTTATATAGGATAATATTAGTTTTGCGAAATTACAATATACTTGTTAGTAGTTTTATAATGGAGTAGTCCCAGCGGGTCAACTTTATTTTCCATTTGCTCTCTTTCAAAATTAGCGAATGACATTTTTTATTTAACATTTTTCACCAGTCATGAACTCAACAACATGCTAGCACTAAACTAGCACTTGTTTTTGCTTGAATTTGTTTCATCTTCTTACATTCATAGGAGTGTTCATATTTCTTTAATTAGTAACAACCTACCTTACTTCTATCTTTAACTGTAGAAGTAATCACAATCTTTATGTTCCTCATTCTTCATGTTACATCGTATGTAACATCCTGTGATTAAGTAAATTGATTTTAGTGTTAACCAACCTTTCTTCTACCTTCAAGTGCAGAAGTTATAACATTCTTCTTGTTCCTAATTCATAATTTTGGAGGAGATACTATAATTCCTCTACTCAGTAAAAACCAACCTTTCTTCTACTTCCGGTAGAAGCAGCAATCACATTCTTTATTATCATAATTCTTCATCTTATATTGTGGGATTGATCATATGATTGCTCTGCTTAGTAACAACCAACCTTTCTTCTAACTTCAGCTAAATACAAGTGTTCACATTCTTCATGTTCCTAATTATTCATCTTGCATCATTATGAGTAATTATATATTCCTCTGCTTAGTAATAACATTTTCTTCTATTGGCTTACAGCCATGTTGATTTTCCTCTAATTAGCAACAAACAATTTTTCGTCTTTCATCGGCTGTAGGAGTTCCTATCGTTTCATATTAATTGTAGGAGTGATTATAATATAATTCCTCTGCTTAGTAACGTCCTTTTTCTTTTCCTCATAGCTGTAGAAGTTATTTGTTCCGCAGCTTAGTAACATACTGTTACCCTTAACTTACAGTTGCATGAGTGGTCATATAGCTCATCTGCTAAGAAAGAACTTTTTCCCCTCTTTTTGCAGCCTAAAGAGTGATCATAATGTTCTGCCGCATAGTCACAAATCATTTCCCTCTACTTACGTAAGGGTGGTCAAATTTATCCGCGGCTAGGTTACAAAACCTTTCGTTCTTCTTACACCTGTTGGAGTTATACTATTCCTGTGAGTAACAACCTTTCTCCTTGCAGCTGCCGTAGTGATCACCTTCTTCCTCTGTTGGGCGCCGTTCCATGCGCAGCGGCTGCTATACATCTACGGCCGCGACTGGACTCACTACTACACGGCAAATGAGTGGCTCTACTACATCGCCGGCTGTTTCTACTACTTCTCGTCCACCGTGAACCCGGTGCTGTACAACATCATGTCTGTCAACTACCGCAACGCCTTTAGAGCGACGCTGTTCGGACGACGCCACCGGGAACTTCACTCCAGCTTCCGCGAGAGCTACGTGGACGGAAAGTGGCAGAGGACGCTCACGTGGCGGAACAATCAGGTGGGAATGTGTTCTAACGTGTCAGTTTGCAAAAGATGATTGATTACTTGGTTAGATAACTAGCATGAGACAACGTATTCTAAATGCATATATTAACCCATTCCAGCCCAAAAACTGTTGACTAAGTAAACAAAATAGCTGAGGATGGTTTTAGAGTTCTTGAATCGTAAAATCTGACATTAATATTAAATTTGTCTTTTTATCACTATTAAGTTGGAATCACCATAAATGAATGAATAAAGTGCTTTATTTTACAAATACACATTCCTCTTATAACACAAACATACACTAAATTAAACAATGGTCTACGACATTCTGTTTAGTTGGCACACCTAAATTTTAATACATAATACACATTTCTGAAAATTAAATTAAAACAAAATTCACTTTCCTAGCATATAGATATGAAATGACCAACTACATCAGTTTTATACAGAACGAAATAACATTTCATAGTGGTCTACATAACTTTTATGTTTTATTTATCTATTGTTTAAAACTATTATTTAAAGTTATCACCATGATTTATGGGTGGTTATGGTAAAATGTTTTCAGTGTCTATTCCTGAGATTTTTATTGGCTAAAACAGCTGAATTATCTAGGCTGTTTGTCCTGTATGGCTCTGGCTTTGGTAAAATGTTCTCAGCGTCCATTCCTGAGAGTTTTTATTGGCTGGAACAGCTGATTTCTTTAGGCTGTTTGTCCTGTATGTCTCTGGCAAAGGTAAAATATTCTCGGCGTCCATTCCTGAGAGTTTTTATTGGCTGGAACAGATTATTTCTTTAGGCTTTTTATCCCGTATGGCTCTGGCTTTGGTAAAATGTTCTCAGCGTCCATTCCTGAGAGTTTTTATTGGCTGGAACAGCTGATTTCTTTAGGCTGTTTGTCCTGTATGTCTCTGGCAAAGGTAAAATATTCTCGGCGACCATTCCGGAGAGTTTTTATTGGCTGGAACAGATGATGTCTTTAGGCTGTTTATCCCGTATGGCTCTGGCATTAGTAAAATGTTCTCAGCGTCCATTCCTGAGAGTTTTTATTGGCTGGAACAGATGAATTCTTTAGGCTGTTTATCCTGTATGGTTCTGGCATTGGTAAAATGTTGTCAGCGTCCATTCCTGAGAGTTGTTATCGGTTGGGACAGCTGATTTCTTTAGGCTGTTTATCCTGTATGGCTCTGGCATTGGTAAAATGTTCTCAGCGTCCATTCTTGAGAGATTTTTTTGGCTGAAACAGATGATTTCTTTAGGCTGTTTATCCCGTACGGCTCTGGCATTGGTAAAATGTTCTCAGCGTCCATTCCTGAGAGTTTTTATTGGCTGAAACAGCTGATTCCTCTAGGGTGTTTGTCCCGTATGGCTCTGGCATTTGTAAAATGTTCTCAGCGTCCATTCCTCAGAGTATTTATTGGCTGGGACGGCTGCTTTCTTTAGCCTGTTTATCCCGTATGGCTCTATCATTGGTAAAAATGTTCTCAGCGTCCATTCCTGAGAGTTTTTATTGGCTGGAACAGATGATTTCTTTAGGCTTTTTATCCCGTATGGCTCTGGCATTAGTAAAATGTTCTCAGCGTCCTTTTCTGAGAGGTTTTATTGGTTGGAACAGCCGATTTCTTAAGACTGTTTCTCCCGTATGGCTCTGGCATTGGTAAAATATTTCTAGCGTCCATTACTGAGAGTTTTTATTGGTTGGAACAGCTGATTTCTTAAGGCTGTTTCTCCCGTATGGCTCTGGCATTGGTAAAATATTTCTAGCGTCCATTACTGTGAGTTTTTATTGGCTGGAACAGATGATGTCTTTGGGCTGTTTATCCCGTATGGCTCTGGCATTAGTAAAATGTTCTCAGCGTCCATTCCTGAGAGTTTTTAATTGCTGGAACAGATGATTTCTTTAGGCTGTTTATCCTGTATGGTTCTGGCATTGGTAAAATGTTGTCAGCGTCCATTCCTGAGAGTTGTTATCGGTTGGGACAGCTGATTTCTTTAGGCTGTTTATCCTGTATGGCTCTGGCATTGGTAAAATGTTCTCAGCGTCCATTCTTGAGAGATTTTTTTGGCTGAAACAGATGATTACTTTAGACTGTTTATCCCCCACGGCTCTGGCATTGGTAAAATGTTCTCAGCGTCCATTCCTGAGAGTATTTATTGGTTGGAACAGCTGATTTCTTTAGGCTGTTTATCCCGTATGGCTCTGGCATTAGTAAAATGTGTTCAGCGTCCATTCCTGAGAGTTTTTATAAGTTTTAACAGTTGATTTCTTAAGGCTGTTTATCAGATGATGTCTTTAGGCTGTTTATCCCGTATGGCTCTGGCATTAGTAAAATGTTCTCAGCGTCCATTCCTGAGAGTTTTTATTGGCTGGAACAGATGATTTCTTTAGGCTGTTTATCCTGTATGGTTCTGGCATTGGTAAACTGTTGTCAGCGTCCATTCCTGAGAGTTGTTATCGGTTGGGACAGCTGATTTCTTTAGGCTGTTTATCCTGTATGGCTCTGGCATTGGTAAAATGTTCTCAGCGTCCATTCTTGAGAGATTTTTTTGGCTGAAACAGATGATTACTTTAGACTGTTTATCCCGTACGGCTCTGGCATTGGTAAAATGTTCTCAGCGTCCATTCCTGAGAGTTTTTATTGGCTGAAACAGCTGATTCCTCTAGGGTGTTTGTCCCGTATGGCTCTGGCATTTGTAAAATGTTCTCAGCGTCCATTCCTCAGAGTATTTATTGGCTAGGACGGCTGCTTTCTTTAGCCTGTTTATCCCGTATGGCTCTATCATTGGTAAAAATGTTCTCAGCGTCCATTCCTGAGAGTTTTTATTGGCTGGAACAGAAGATTTCTTTAGGCTGTTTATCCTGTATGGCTCTGGCATTAGTAAAATGTTCTCAGCGTCCTTTTCTGAGAGGTTTTATTGGTTGGAACAGCTGATTTCTTAAGGCTGTTTCTCCCGTATGGCTCTGGCATTGGTAAAATATTTCTAGCGTCCATTACTGAGAGTTTTTATTGGCTGAAACAGATGATTTCTTTAGGTTGTTTATCCCGTACGGCTCTGGCATTGGTAAAATGTTGTCAGCGTCCATTCCTGAGAGTATTTATTGGCTGGAACAGATGATTTCTTTAGGCTGTTTATCCCGTATGGCTCTGGTATTAGTAAAATGTTCTCAGCGTCCATTCCTGAGAGTTTTTATAAGTTTTAACAGCTGATTTCTTAAGGCTGTTTATCAGATGATTTCTTTAGGTTGTTTATCCCGTATGGCTCTGGCATTAGTAAAATGTTGTCAAGGTCCATTCCTGAGAGTTTTTATTGGCTGGAACAGCTGATTTCTTTAGGCTGTTTGTCCTGTATGTCTCTGGCAAAGGTACAATATTCTCGGCGTCCATTCCTGAGAGTTTTTATTGGTTTTAACAGCTTATTTCTTTAGGCTGTTTATCCTGTATGGCTCTGGCAATGGTAAAATGTTCTCAGCATCCATTCCTGAGAGTTTTTATTGGCTGGATCAGCTGATTTCTTTAGGCTGTTTGTCCTGTATGTTTTGGCATTGGTAAAATATTCTCGGCGTCCATTCCTGAGAGTTTTTATTGGTTGGAAAGGCTGTTTATCCTGTATGTCTCTGGCTTTGTTAAAATGTTCTCAGCGTCCATTCCTGAGAGTTTTTATTGGTTGGAAAGGCTGTTTGTCCTGTATGTCTCTGGCTTTGGTAAAATGTTCTCAGCGTCCATTCCTGAGAGTTTTTATTGTCTGAGGCAGCTGATTTCTTTAGGCTGTTTATCCCGTATGTCTCTGGCATTGGTAAAACGTTCTCAGCGTCCATTCCTGAGAGTTGTTATTGGTTGGAACAGCTTATTTCTTTAGGCTGTTTATCCTGTTTGGCTCTGGCATTGGTAAAATGTTCTCAGCATCCATTCCTGAGCGTTTTTATTGGCTGGAACAGGTGATTTCTTTAGGCTGTTTATCCTGTATGGCTCTGGCATTGGTAAAATATTCTCAGCGTCCATTTCTGAGAGTTTTTATTGGTTGGAACAGCTGATTTCTTTAGGCTGTTTATCCTGTTTGGCTCTGGCATTGGTAAAATGTTCTCAGCATCCATTCCTGAGCGTTTTTATTGGCTGGAACAGGTGATTTCTTTAGGCTGTTTATCCTGTATGGCTCTGGCATTGGTAAAATGTTCTCAGCGTCCATTCTTGAGAGATTTTTTTGGCTGAAACAGATGATTACTTTAGACTGTTTATCCCGTACGGCTCTGGCATTGGTAAAATGTTCTCAGCGTCCATTCCTGAGAGTTTTTATTGGCTGAAACAGCTGATTCCTCTAGGGTGTTTGTCCCGTATGGCTCTGGCATTTGTAAAATGTTCTCAGCGTCCATTCCTCAGAGTATTTATTGGCTAGGACGGCTGCTTTCTTTAGCCTGTTTATCCCGTATGGCTCTATCATTGGTAAAAATGTTCTCAGCGTCCATTCCTGAGAGTTTTTATTGGCTGGAACAGATGATTTCTTTAGGCTGTTTATCCTGTATGGCTCTGGCATTAGTAAAATGTTCTCAGCGTCCTTTTCTGAGAGGTTTTATTGGTTGGAACAGCTGATTTCTTAAGGCTGTTTCTCCCGTATGGCTCTGGCATTGGTAAAATATTTCTAGCGTCCATTACTGAGAGTTTTTATTGGCTGAAACAGATGATTTCTTTAGGTTGTTTATCCCGTACGGCTCTGGCATTGGTAAAATGTTGTCAGCGTCCATTCCTGAGAGTATTTATTGGCTGGAACAGATGATTTCTTTAGGCTGTTTATCCCGTATGGCTCTGGTATTAGTAAAATGTTCTCAGCGTCCATTCCTGAGAGTTTTTATAAGTTTTAACAGCTGATTTCTTAAGGCTGTTTATCAGATGATTTCTTTAGGTTGTTTATCCCGTATGGCTCTGGCATTAGTAAAATGTTGTCAAGGTCCATTCCTGAGAGTTTTTATTGGCTGGAACAGCTGATTTCTTTAGGCTGTTTGTCCTGTATGTCTCTGGCAAAGGTAAAATATTCTCGGCGTCCATTCCTGAGAGTTTTTATTGGTTTTAACAGCTTATTTCTTTAGGCTGTTTATCCTGTATGGCTCTGGCAATGGTAAAATGTTCTCAGCATCCATTCCTGAGAGTTTTTATTGGCTGGATCAGCTGATTTCTTTAGGCTGTTTGTCCTGTATGTTTTGGCATTGGTAAAATATTCTCGGCGTCCATTCCTGAGAGTTTTTATTGGTTGGAAAGGCTGTTTATCCTGTATGTCTCTGGCTTTGTTAAAATGTTCTCAGCGTCCATTCCTGAGAGTTTTTATTGGTTGGAAAGGCTGTTTGTCCTGTATGTCTCTGGCTTTGGTAAAATGTTCTCAGCGTCCATTCCTGAGAGTTTTTATTGTCTGAGACAGCTGATTTCTTTAGGCTGTTTATCCCGTATGTCTCTGGCATTGGTAAAACGTTCTCAGCGTCCATTCCTGAGAGTTGTTATTGGTTGGAACAGCTTATTTCTTTAGGCTGTTTATCCTGTTTGGCTCTGGCATTGGTAAAATGTTCTCAGCATCCATTCCTGAGCGTTTTTATTGGCTGGAACAGGTGATTTCTTTAGGCTGTTTATCCTGTATGGCTCTGGCATTGGTAAAATATTCTCAGCGTCCATTTCTGAGAGTTTTTATTGGTTGGAACAGCTGATTTCTTTAGGCTGTTTATCCTGTTTGGCTCTGGCATTGGTAAAATGTTCTCAGCATCCATTCCTGAGCGTTTTTATTGGCTGGAACAGGTGATTTCTTTAGGCTGTTTATCCTGTATGGCTCTGGCATTGGTAAAATGTTCTCAGCATCCATTCCTGAGAGTTTTTATTTCAATTTAAAATAAGAACGTTACAATACCTGCAGACTGTCGTTAGTGGTCGTTGAATATTCAACAGGATTACGCGTTTCGGTATTTGTTATACCATCATCAGATCCTATACAAAACTTGAAGTTTTTTGACTGATGATGATACGTCACAGTTTTTCAGGAGTATTTATTGCCCGGAACAGCTGATTTCTTTAGGCTGTTTTTCCTGTATGGCCCTAGCTAAGGTAAAATGTTCTCAGTGTCCATTCCAGAGAGTTTAACTTTACTTATCCTTTGAAGAACAGGTGAATGAGTTTCTTGTGAAATTGAACTTTAAGAGAAAAGATTATACACTACACTAACTGAAACAGTCTTTTGGAGAATTATGAAAACCGATTATTATGATAGCATGTACCAAACACAGTCCATTTTTATAGATTCATATTTATAGTACCTCTAGTTCAAGGACAGCAATCCAATGAAACTAAAATGATTTCTAGGAGTCTCATGAAAAATAAAACTCAATTTTTTCGTCTCAATGAATATAATAACAAAGTAAAATTGTTAATAGAGTACTAATCAAGTACACTAATAGATGCATTGTTAAGTTTCTTCGATACTTATACAAGTAAAAAAGATGTTGGATATTTTGATTTTGTTGAAAACCTATTTGCCTCAAATTTACTTCCCCAATAAGTTGAGAATTTAATCTTTTGAAAATTTTCTTCAATAGATTTTATTTAACGGTGAATCCTAAAAAATTGTGTCTTTTTGTTAAGTAATATTGTAGCAATTCCATTGTGGTCTCACAAGAAACTAACGCCTCTTCATGTATTAAAATTTTAAACAGTTTTGCATAGGTGTTTTTAATTTTTTTGAGGTGTATTGAATGCTTTTAACTAGGGTGTTATAAGGCTTATGGATCACTATCAATTACCACGACCGAATATACACGAGGCACTTATCAAAAAGCTATTATTACAAACAGCTAAGTATTGTATTCCCTATTTTATATAGAAAGATTCAAAATTTTCTCATGGTTTTTTTGTTTGTTTCAGAGTCCTCCATCAACTAGGGACGTGGTTGTGATAGTCACTCCAGACAAATGTTGCACCACAGTCACTACCAAGACTAGGTACTGGCCCAAGACACTACTAAGAGTTACCATGGGTAGAGACCCACCAGAAGATCAACACGACAAGGTCTGCATACAGATGGAAACATGTATCTAACTGAGACAGATCACACAGGAACCCCATGTGTCTGGTTCATCACCAGGCTTTTTTGACCAGAGCCTTTTCCAAGCTCCATGTATGTAGCATTTCAGGATGAAGTGCTTTGCAGTCTCGTCAGACTTGGTGTTTGCTGAAATACCTGCATCTTTACCCTCAACGAACATAGGGCTGAACCTAACCTTCTTTGAAGCCGGTGGTATTCATCTCTTCGACACACCACTGAGGCTCGGCTGTAAACGAATGGAAAGTAAGAGTGAGAAGATTCTTCCAATAGGAAAAAGAAGAAGAAAGATCAAGCAAAAGAAGTGTTCTTTCTACTCATAGAACCTATACAAAGAAGAAGGGTCCGGGAGCTGGCTAGGGTAACTCTGGGTTACCAATCTACAAGAAGCCTCCCGTTTAGTTGACAGACAACTACCCCTGAGGAGATGTCGTATAACAAGAGTTATCAGCTTAACTGAGGAATATTTTGCACAAGTTATTTTACTTCATAATACAAATATTTCACTTGACTTTATCTCGAAGAATAGAGGGAAAATGACTACCACAAACAAAAAACATAATTGAAAAAAATATATTTTTTTTCGGTTATGATAGGTTATTGCAAGTTTGGTAATGATAATGACAAACTGCGGGAAGTTAATAATCATATAAGTTGGGCTCATGATCTTCAATGGTCAGCTGTACGTGAAACTTAACTGTACGAAACTTGAATTTGATGAAAGATAAGGTGAACATAGACGTTTTGTTGTAATCATTTAATTTAATAATAACGTACATGATAACATATGTTTGGTTTTTAGACGTTTGGTTTGGATAAAAGATTTTTGAGTCACTTAATTTGTCTCTTAGTATTGACGAATATTGGTTAATTTTGATGACATAAGCAAGTTAAATGAAAACATCCTTCTTTGGATATATGCATTTGTAAATTTCATTATTAAAGGATGGTGCCTTATCGCTATTGGCCAATTGACTTTTTAGTAAATGAAATGAAATGAAATGATGAAATGAAATGAAATAACATATTATTTCCCAACTGGCATAATACATTTCGTGGTATTTACATAATAATTATACAATCCTTAACGTAAGAAAATATAATAATTACAAAAGTATAATACTGTATAACTAAATGGACAGAGAAAAAATAAAAATACCTTATCAAATTAAAAGGAAAATGTCTACATAGGCAGGGGCCTGTGCGTAGACATGAGTTGCGGGTAAATTGTTGTAAATTGTTAAGTATCAGTAGAACTTTGAGAGGATCTTAAATAGCAAAAGCAATATATTTTATTTGTAAAACCAGTGATCTAAGATGCATTAGTTGTTTTAATAATTTGATTTGTATGACTATTATTAATTAAATATGGACATACAGTACTTCAACTATTAATATTATAAAACTACACAACTTATATTTAGATAATAAATTGACGATACGGGAAATATTGCTTGTGCAATTGTAACTGGAATTACTAAACATTCTTAGTACAATCAAATTTGTAGAATAAATTCAGCATGAATTAAATACCACCATACTAATGAATGCATTTTACTTAATCACTGATCAATTGGACATTCCAGGTATTTTAATAAAGAAGTATTAAACCATAGCTTTGAATGTCAATTGCTATGAAATCCATTGTTATAGTAACAGTATAATAAATTTTAATACATAACTAACTGTAAAATGTTCAAATTATTTGGCTAATAATGAAATTCCAGGTACTTTAATTGTCATTGAAAGTATTAAAGCATAATTTTAAACGCTGATTTGTTATGAATTGTATTGTTTTAGTTTTAATTTATTTTTTTCACATTTTCAACTATGTAATGTTCAAATTATTACAGTGTACCATCACTTAATTACCTATTTCTGTTGGTTAATGTTTTATACAAGGCTGGGTAATATTGTATACATGTGTTTTTTAAGTTGTAGAAACGCAACGTTTGAAGTAATATATGCTAAGTGGTTTGAAAATATTCCAATACACTAAATACGTTTTATATGTTTATCCTCCTTAATAAAATGCCATGAAAGTTTACTTTTAACCTTGTGGTTGTCTGAAATAGTAGATGACAACATTGACTTATTGATCGTAAGAAATAATTTAAACTTTATAACATGTTAGTTCAGCTGTTATTTGTTTTACTTATAAAAACTTTAATTTGGAATAGTAAATGTTTATAAATGTACTCTAATCATGGTATATTACCCAGGAAATGTTGTCCTTATAATCCATTTTATCTTTGACTAAACACAGAATAGACTCCCCATGTAATGTAAAAATTTGAAGCAAAAAATGTGGTGCAATTTGTTGAGATGGTCTACCAACTAGAGACAATTTTCATTGTTAAGAGATAAATCAATCAACTGTTTGCTATGATACTGCGTTGATTTTAATATATATTCAACCCAATACATTAGTACCTTCTGGTGAGATGGTCCTGAACTTCATCTATTTTCTTGGCTTCAAATTTTTACATTAAATGGGAAGTCTATTATTTGTATAGTGAATTTACTACATATTGTTACGGAAAAATGATGGTTGTCGGCTTTAAAAGACGGGTAAGATCAATTGCAACATTTTCATCCCGACAGTTAGATTTCTAATTCTTGATCAGAAAACTGACCAAAACTAGATTACTTAAGAATAGCCGTGCATTCACAAGAAAAAGCACACTCATTTTATTCACGGGAATTGTTACACACTTATGAAAGTAATCATACTATAGAGTCTATAACATGAATCTGGTTTAAAAATTAAAGGTCGGTTTCCTAAGTATACAATATTTTCATAATGGAACAAATAGTTAAGACATTTTACGGTCACTATCGATTTTTGCATTTCTTTCAAAAGTATGCCTCTGATTTTCAAAGTAGAAGACTATTTGAAAGGTTAAGGTAAAATACCTGACTATGATATTCATATAGGTGAAACAGTTTTGTAAATGAATGTACTTTTCGCTGCTCATTAGAATATTAAATAATTTAAAGTGTTCTTTGTATGTCATGTTTTCTTACCCAATCCACCATACTCTATACCAATAAATATTTTATAACTAATCTTTACATCATTAATTAATTAAGGCTTTACTAGGTATAAGGAAATAGCGCAATACATTCATACCTGTTTAATATTTGTCTTAAGTTAAATTTATCTTGTCCAAACATGGCTTAATTTAAATTAACAATATAGAACGTGTTGTTATCGGTTACATATTGTCATAACAAGGAACTGTACCAATACAGGGTGATTGGTATCAGTGTGACAAAAACTTTTTTTGTGTAATTACAAAGTAAATGAAGTGTGATGATGCATATCAAATGTTTCAAGTCTAAAAATTAACTTCCCAAAAAAATTATTTTATGTTTTTCAAAAATAACCATGCTTTTAAACTTAATACAGCGATTTCTCAATTACCTGTTTATGGATTTGAGTAGATAATGTCATTTTCGTGTTCTACATTAAATTTTGAACAAGAATAATAGAAAATGACGGAGGATCAGTGTGAGCCATTTTATAAGCTTTCCTACCATATGCTACACCATTGAGCTTTAGTGGTTTGAAGACTACAAAGCATGGTGTCTTTAACATTTAAAACATAAAAAGTCGGCATGTATTAAGCAAAAGTTGTATTTTTGTTTCAGCTTGAACAGTAAAAACAGTAAAAAAGTTCCCTGTTTTCTGGTATTCAAATTACTAAAACGAACAAAAAATATATAAATCTCAATAGTGTAGCATATGGTTGGAAAGCTTATAAAAGCTTATAAATGGGTGTGTTGCTAGCCTAGTGGTTAGCGTCTCGGACTTCGGTGCGGGAGGGACGGGTTCAATCCCTGGCACATCCACAAAACTTCAATGGGTTTGGACCGCTTTCCCTTAAAAGTGTTTGACTTAAAAATGCCACTGGCGTAGATACGATAAAAAAAGAAAAAGAAGAAAAAAATGGTGCAGTTTTTAACATATTCCGACACCTTTTTGTATACAGGGTGTGAAAAATGCAATAGACCATTGTTTTTTTTTTAATTTTTATCATACGTCTTAATTTTTATCTTTGAGTCTATTTACAATGGAGTTTTTACAACTGATCCTCCGTCATTTTCTATTATTCTTTTTGAAAATTTAATGTAGAACACGAAAATGACATTATCTACTCAAATCCATATACAGGTAATTGAGAAATCGTTGTATTAAGTTGAAAAGCATGTTTATTATTGAAAAACTTAAAATATTTTTTTGGGAAGCTAGTTTTTAGACTTGGAACATTTGATATGCATCATCACACTTCATTTACTTTGTACTTACACCAAAAAAATTTTGTCACACTGAGTACCAATCACCCTGTATAACTATACATAATTAATTATACCGTTGAAGTATACATAATTATACAATTGGATTCTACATTTAGGGATGACACATTCCTGTATCCTGATACAGACTCCTTTCAATTATTGATAAGAAATTACTCTACCTTTTAGGCTAGAAATTCCCAACAAGAAACCATTCAAAGAAATAGAAAGACAATGAAAATATGCTATGCAACATAATATGCTATGCAACATGTGCATTGGGATTTTTCTTAAATGAAATTTGGTCAAAAATTTCGCATTTTATTATCGCGACATTGCTAGGAGACAACAATATAATTTTTATAAGTATGACAAACGTTTCCTGCAATGAGGTTAATAAGTTTAGCCAAGTAGCTAATATTACCATTTAATTGCCTTTGCATCTTATACACATATGGCCAACTGATGAAACGTTGTGTAAGCACTTCTTTATGTTTAGGAACTCACGTTTTTAATTGGAAAAGGATGCAAATTGATTAATTCATATTTTTAAGGTTTATAGAAATTGTTCGTGAATAAGTAAAGAAACGACATAAAAAACATATCTCCTTTTTTATCTGCCGAAAGTCATTGTTCCGTGTGTTGATAGCTACTTAACAATAATATACATGACTAAAAACAGCCTTCCTTAAATCTTAAAATCTTGTTTGCATCACTGGCCATCGAAAAAGAATTGTTTTATATACCAATCAAATACTTAACGATGCAATTATTAAGAAGATAATTATGAAAGTGTTATTGTTGTTAAATTCAAATTCAAGATTTTTTCTTTTACCATAAGTAGCTCGATATAGAATGGTTCCATAGGTATTCCGACCACGTCTTGTGATCGCTTCGGTATTCCACAAGCACCCGGTTTGGTCTTGGATATAAATCATCTTGATAGATTAAAAGACAGATTTTTTCTTAAGTAACGTTGTCAAAAATATTCTTCCTCAACTATTTATTTACTAAAGTTTCCATCCGACACGTTTTGTTGTAACCTACTTTCTGTAATTCAATCAGTTATTTCGTTGTTGAATCTCGTACTTTATATTTGATCTACAGAATTTTCCACTCTTTTAACAATCAAAACACTAGCTGTTGCCCGTCGGCTTCACCTTACGTATTTTGAGGGTTTTCCACAACTATACGCCCGCTAAAGTTGCGATTTCGCTCTCAGGTACACCCTACATACATTTCTACCAAAAGTACTATTCCTAGTCTATTTTCTCCACTCATAATTATACCCTAAACAAAGTTTTCCAAAGCTACGGTTCATTTTTATTAAAAAGTATTAGATTGTCTATCTTAAAGTAGCCTTAAGTAACACAACCTTTATTTTGAAACATGAAGTTCCCTGTCATTATCTCGGCAATCTCCTGATTTAATATTGTTGATTTTCGCTGTAACTTGTTATTAATATTTCTTGGCCTACCAAAACCACATTTAATTATTTTTACCTGAGTTTACTTTATTTAAGTATACTTGATTGAAACAGGATTTTTTATACGTTTTAATGTACACGAAGCACGCCTTATATCAAACAATCGATTAAGTCACGTTCATAAAGTACCCGGAGTATATAAGATGTCTAAATCCTTATGAATAACACGTGCTCGTCAAAACTGCAGATTTAGTTAAATTCTTTTTGATTGCATGCCTAAATATTTTCGTAAAACACCACAAAAAATATATATAAATATGTATAGTATTTAGATTGGGTGAAATTGATTAAATTACGGACATAACCTTTGTAATTCAGAGGAATTTGTGTAGAATGTTTGTACATTTTTATTCAAACGAGATCTTAAAGAATGTTTCTACATTTAAAATTTGTGAAAAGTAAATCTACGCAAAACGACAGAGTAATTTTAGGTGGCAGAGATCGTTTTCCCATTAAACCGAGTTGTAAAATAAATCCCCGACCAAGGCAATTTGTTGAGTGTTTCATCATCGGGTCTTTTATATGGGAAATATTTAATTATTAAATTCGCATACGTTGTATATAAGTTTTCTGAAATAAAACAGTATTGCGTAGAAATACTGGGGTACATATACAGTAATGTCATACTATCTTTTTTGTTTTTAGGGTCCACAGAAACCTGGTCATAAAATATGAAATTTGTGATTCTGAAATGCCAGTTTTGACTACGTGGAACCTTTTGATATTTTTCGCAATGTGTATTTCTTATAGACCTTTAAAATTTAATTTACTATTTAACCTATTCTCTAATGTAACATTATTCCTTGTGGCTCGTCCGCAGTATGACG